ATTATAGAGAGTACGTGAATACGAGAGAGCTTGTTTGATCATAGCGGAGCCGGGTTGATGCGCCACACCGGCCGCACAGTGGAATAAGCATTTGGAAGAAGTCGAACATGAAATATCAGGCTAAAATCTCAAATCTGCATGTTTATATCGCCCCAATTCCATCTTCAGAAGGTGTTTCGCATAGGAGATTGCTCGGAAAAACCACTGGAAATACGTTATATAACTTTTTTGTTTCATTTTCTTAAAAATGAAAGCTTTCAAAGTCTCCAAATATTGTCCGACTTCTCCCGTTGACTCATCCTACTGTGCGCCGTCGCTGGTGAGTTGCTTACTGTTTACCCCCATTACAACGGATCGTACGTGCCGATTCCAAAGTCCACGCAACACAATTTGCGACTCGCACGCTGCGGGCCGTAATACAATTTGAGTCGATTTGCATCAACGAAATACAAGTTTCTCACTAATACTATGCCGTGCTAAGGAAGAACGCCGTATGAACATTTGAGAGTTGCCAAGTTTCCTCTGGTAAAATGTTTATTTTTTTAAGAAAGTTATGAATGTTTTTCCTCGGGATTTTCAGGAACTTTAGTTGAAATTCCGAACAAAATTATCCGAAAAATCAGAACGAAAATATTCATAAGTTCACCAGGAAATTCGCGCTTTATCAAAGGAAACTTGGCAACGCCTTAAGGTCTATACGGCGTTCTTCCTTAGCAAGGTAGAATAATGGTTCTCATGGCGATTTACTTGCAACTGAACTCTAAATTGACTACATTTTGCAATTTGGAACTATAAATTCTAGCCCGGTTTAAAAGCAAGGTATGTACCATTAGTTTCCCTATGCTCATAAGTGTTTTTCCAGAAGAACCAGACTTTATAATTCTAAATTGCAAAATGCAGTCCAAATATGTGACTTTAAATGGAAAACGGGACTCCACATGAGGGGCTTGGAGGACAGGGTGCATAAGTACAGGTTTGGCTATTTCGAGAAATACGTGTTTGAAGTTTCAAAATTACATAGATCCTTATGGCGGAAAGAAAGTCCAAACTGACTTTTTGGTGCTTAAAAATTGGAAATTTGGAAGTGAATTTTTCACAGAACATGCATTAAAACTAGTTTTACTCGAAAGTATTAATACCTCAATTTTTTCAAAAACTGCACTTACGCGCCCTGTCCTCCAAGCTCCTCATATGATATTTTTATGAAGATTTGAGGCTCTTCACACTTCCTATTGTAATTTGAAGAAGATTCACGGCGATAAAAATAGATAAAATCTCATGTTCTGTCACTTTCAATCATTTGCATACAAGTGTACCATTTTCTTGGATCTAAAGAGCTTCATGAAGCCTAAGATAGCTCAGTCAATCAGAAATGGTCACTCCATTATCTATACTCTCACTTTATAAAGAGAGTATCGGAAGGTCTTGTAAAACTACTATAGCCTGGAGGAATAGAGGCTCATGCACCACTAACTAGACAATTCACGGTAGCCGAATTAACGGTTCAAATCTAAATCGCAAATTTGACATTCACGATCAAACTGCCGGTAGGCACTGTTTTGCGGTGGCCGATGTCAGAAATCACGACAAATGAAACTTTGCAACATGGCAATGCTTTTAAGCCCATGTAGCTTTTACCTTATCATTTACTAAGTCTTTTTATTCAGAACATCTTCAAACCTTAAAAAAATTTTCACGAAATTACGTTGATTAGTGCTCCATTTAAAACATGAAGTATCATGAGAAACCTGCAGCGCCACAAAGAAAGATACGCGGTTTCTGAGTTCGGCCACTGAGACTTGACCAATCAGTCACTGTATTCCGAATGCATTTATGCCGCAAGTGTTTTGTTTTTATCTCCCAGTTTCCTGGACCTCTTATTCCTTGAGAAAATTCAGGTGTTGAAATTCTGCTGTAGATATTATCGAAGTAGGAAAGTATGCATGCACGATTCCAGCATTTTTTTATTTTATTTTTTATGTATGAATGACTGCGATTGCAATAATTCATTGGGATTTATCAATCTGGGGCTAGCCAACGGATCAAAGTTCAAATGAACTTAAAATGCTCCTAGAGTGAAATAAAGCTGAGTCACTAGACGATAAATTGGCTTTTCCTGTTGCTGAAAACTTTCCACACATTCTTGGAGTCGACCCTCGGTTCTTGGGAATTTTTAGTGGTACGCGGAAAGAGGAAGTACTTTCAAGCGGAAAAGAAATGGAGAGAGAGCTTACGTTGGAATAAATAAAAATTGTGAACAACGAAAAATTAACGGTACTTTCCTAACAACGCTTTTTCGGGACAGAAACAACAGCTATGACTGAATTTTAAATTGCCCTTATATTAAACTATATTTATTTCTTGAAGATTGACGGCTGATCGAATCCTGTAGCATTCTTATGAAATGTGGGTTTTTTATTGATGAAAGTTGAAAAAATAAACAATTTCAATAAAATCTTCAAATGAAAATCAAGAAAAATCTATCACCGTGCACTTATTTGGCATGCATTTCCAGATATGTGGTATCATCGGTTAGAAACAAGTGGGCTCCTTTATGTAGAAACCATACTGTATGTTTGGCATTTCTTCGTTTCATTCAGGGATATCTAATTTTCCCGACTGTCTCTCGAATAGGTAACGCGTAAATAGATTCCTATTGCATAATGAAATTAATAGGTAACAAACAACAAATACGAAAAAATGTGAATCGCGTGATCTGCACGTGACTTTGAAGGCCATATCAGTGTTTAAACTGAGTTAGGGTAAGCGGAAAACAAAAAAACCTATTTCTGTTGCTTATTATTGTCATTTTTCACAGGGCATTGATTCAGTTTTTCCTCGAATTCCACTAATTCACATTAAGAGCCTTAGAATATTGCTGCAAAATAAAGCTTGTGTTAGCCGTAGAGTCTTCATGCATATTTTTGTTGTATTACGATAAAACGGGCGGGTAAACCCTCATAACTCCTCTCATCAATGATGCTTCTTGACTAAAAATTTAGAGTAGGTAGATTCATTGATAAGAAGAGGGCATGGAGGTTACTTATACATTCCTGTTTCCCCTTCAATTTCCGAAGTAGGCCAAGGAAATCTCGGTTCAAAAATTGCGAAATATTTTAGGATTAACGTATCGCACTGTCCACATATCTTGTCTAAGCTTCAAATGAATATGATGCCAGCTCTGTTTTTTTATTTAAGTCTCAATAATTAAAAATTGACACACGCGTCTTTTTCTTCTTGGTCCCGATCGCTTCCAACTTTCTTTTTGCGCCAATCAACCGATCAATCGGTTTTTCGAGGAGCAGTAAATAGGTGTCTCTGCGCTGAATTATTCTCACAGAGGAAGCGACATTCTCGGCTGAAATACTCTCTGAAGGGACCTGAAGGGGGTTTTTGAAGGAGGTTGTTGAACTTTTTTTAAACGATAGAAATTGAAACATTCTAATGGCATTTTGAAGAAATTCGCAAGAAGAACGCAATAACTTTGTGGAGGTGGGATGCAAGCAAGGGCCCATCGACTCCTCACATGCGTTTAATGGTTTTCAGCGGCTACATATGGTCACATCTTGAGTTGAGGGGGAGGAGATGCCACAAGTCTTTGAAACGAGGCACAGTGGATCGAGTCAATAGGGGAGGCCGGACAAAATTTGGAAACTTTAAACGCTTATAACTCCGGTTATACAAAACTTTGAGGTTCTAAAAGTGGTTCCACTAGTTTCCTCGTGAAATTTTCTTTCAGTAACACCCCTTAAAATCTAAAATGTAACGAATCAATCATCAAAATTTGCAGTTTTAGTCAAACATTTCATGTCCAACCTTGCTAATTTACTCGATCCACTGTGCGAGGGGGCGCCGGGACCCATCATTTTAAGTCAATTTTCGTTGTCTTGTCAAAGATATTCTCTGAAGATTTCGTTCAAAATGACAAGTATTACTCTTTTTTTAAAAAAAAAATAAGAATGTATTAACAAAGAACATGTTGAAACACCTTAGTGAATTAAGATACGTGATTTCGCAATGTCATTACTGATTTGACTTTACTTCCCCTAAATATATGTGTCCTACCTGTTCTTACGGTCCAACAGTAAGTCTTTGCTGACCGCGTTTGTTATCGGATGTTTGGTGTGACATCACCAGCAAAAGTTCCGGTTGAATAGATAGGTTCTTTCCAAAAAGCTCCAACTTTTACAACCGAGGTCCAGAGTCTTGAATGCTTCGGATAATGTCAGTTTACTTACAAACGCATCTAACCGCCTCACGCAATAAATAAACGTCACACTGTCAATCGAGTCGAATCTGTCAAAGATAAACCATAACAACAAATCGCAACATATGTATAGCGCGACGAACTACCATAGGACGTAGGTATTCGTGTAGTATTCAGGCACTCTGCTTCGTTAAGAAAAACGTTGTATGAACGTTATGGCATCGTCAAATCTCATCTAATAAATTGCAAATTCCCGGCGAAATAATGTATTTTTGTATTCGTTAAAAACTTGTCACCAAAATAAGTATTTAATCGCTACAAATTCGGCAACATTAGAATGTTTCATATGACGTTTTACCTTAACGGGGCAGTGCTGCATAAGAATTACGAGCAATGAGCCTTTACACGAGACAATTTTGTAATCTATCTCTATCGTTTGTGTCTCGTTATCGGGTCCGCGTGGACTTTGGTCTTTTGTATTTCATGGAACCAGTGCAAAGGCTACTCCGAAAACCGGGCATCTGCTCCAGTCAAACGTCTGCTCAGGTTTTACGTGCGCATGATTTGCAACCCCGGTCACGTTAACCCCGTAGTGTACACTCAAAAAACTAAAAAAAACTTGTGCTTTGAAAGGCGATAGATTTTTCTAATTTAGGATCAAAAAGAGACCGTAAAATCGACTTTTTCTTTCACCACCATTATTCAACCACCTGTACCGAATTTCATGTACCTATCTGTGTTGTATCAGGAGAATTCATCGCTTCAACGCCTTTTTTTTAAAAAATTCCAACTCGAAGACTCGTTTGCGGTTTTTTCTAATTTACGATGTTGCCAATTCTGTTATCAGAATCGTTGCATTAATAATGCATGAAGAAACTCAGAATGTGTGCATTTTGAACGTAACCTCCTAGCGTGCCTAGATAACGATACATACGTTTGATCAGAGTGAACTAACATTAATTGAATTCCATACTCATTGGGGTATTCGCAGTGTTGCCAGTTTGATTAATGATTTTTTTATAAAAAAAACGTGTAACAGTCGTCTCAAATGGCAATATGTAATGGCGATCTTAACCATACCTCCAATGCTGAAAGAGGCTTGTGAATCTGTTAATGGAGATTTTAAAGTGAGTGATGCTTCGTAGTGAAGACTTGGTTTTGATATTGAAGAATTATAAGACGCGGACGTTTTCTGTAAGATCAGGACGATATAATGTCAGACCTTTTCGCCTGCTTGATTCGGGACTTTGTGAAGTGGTGAGCCTTCTTTCTGCGGTCTCTATCCACGTCTCAGTGCAAGAAACGCCCAGTCGTCAATTCGCAGTGCATTTTTATGTGCTCAGGTCAGAATGTTTCCCCATTGTAAATGAAGAAATATGGTGTTGAAAAAAGCCACTCTTTGCTGTTTATTTGTTATTATTTGTGATGGAGATCAGGTAAAATATGTCTTTAAACGACAACTCTAATTAATTGTCCATCGGAGAGAAAGAAAACCGACTTTGGGTAAAAAATATCGGTCATCGGTATTTGCTGCTGGATGCTTTCTAATACTCTCGAAAAAATCAGGTCAAACTTACAAGTCATGGATTTCAGTATATAACGACGGTGAAACTACCAAACCACGTATCTCGGTTTGCGACGTCGCAGACTTCCTGTCATACTTTATTTTTTAAATGAAAAACTACTCAACATCCAGTCTTGAAAATTTCTGTGATTTTTCCTCTTCGTGCGGAGAAAATTCCGTGAAAATTTCAAAGAATGATATTGATTTGGTCTACTTCAAAAAAAAATAAAATGTGAGCGTAGATTTTTAAACACCGCAAACGAGATACGTGGTTTGGTAGTTTCACCGTCGATAAGTAATGTTATACGCGTTTGAAGTTTTGGTTACGAAAGCTGGCAACAGCGTCGGAAACTGTAACTAGAATAATTCGCAAATGCGTGATTTATCTCTCTTCGACTATAGAAATACTGAAAAAAGACTCCGGTTGTGAAAGCTGCACTTACGGGTTGTATAGAATACTGTCCGATCTGGGCTCAGAGGCTGAAATTTCCGGATGTGGCACCCGTCACTCTGGCCAGTGAACCCAGAGTAGTCGAAGCTACGGCTTCAGCACCCGAAACTTTCAGCCTCTGAATCCAGATCTATATAGCCTGTAACTTTGATTTCTGTGAATGCGCATAAATTGTCAATTATTGAGGGTTTCCACAAGCCATATGACTCAAAATCAATACTTACATGCTATGGTGTAATCACTTCATTTTTCCAAAACCTAAAGCCCATCTTGCCTGAATCTAACACATTTGAATTTATTTTATGTATCATCTTGATAGTGATGGTTTCAGATTAAAAATTTGGAGGAAGCAGAGTCTATATAGAGGGGGTATCAGGGTTACGCACATTGATATTTTTCCATAATTCATATCTTTTCCACGCCTTCCATTTTCGAGATAGGGTACAGAATACCCAACTTGCAGCAATAGTTACCTATTCTAAAGGATTTGTGTTTTTACATTTGCGACGGAGTGAATTATGTCTAACTGCAACCTGACGATTTTGATGCTTGCTCAGTTCTGACAGTAATTACTATATTAACGTCTTTAATCAGCACTGATCACAAAAAATTAGAATTTCTCGCTCATAAGTAACCGCAGAGTCTACTTGAATCAACTTGCGCACTACAACGGTTTTAGCAAGCTCCTTTAAGTACAGAACTGTGTTACTTCTCTGCTCTGTGTTGTTCAAAGTGTAAACAACGTGCAACAGCTGAGCCAAAGCATCGATTGTCGTATTTTCATACCGCAGAGACTGTCACTGTAATGTTTAAAGTGTGCGATTTAACTCGAATAGATTATGGTTTTCCCTACGAATTCCCACTTTGTCTTCACTGAAAAATAACTCCGGCCGTGGAAGCTGTACTTACGAACTGTATGAACATCCCGTTTGTTCCGGGCTTAGAAACCGAAAGTTCCGGTTGTAGCACTCGTTGCTGCGGCTTTTGAACCCGAAGCAGTCAAAGCTATGGCTCCAACTTCCAGAACTTTCGGCCTCTAAACCCGGAACGGTGTTTTAAGGTTTTTAACGGTTTTTTAAGTGTAGACGAAGTGGAAAAATACGCATTTAGATAGATGTTTTCTCACGAAGGACACAATTTAGCACGACGATAAAATTGAAAGGAAATACTCCGGCTACATAAAGGTTTTCATGGCTGGCTTTTATTTATTTTTGTTCAGGTTAGTGGCTCATTCAGGGGGATATCCTGCAATGGTTTATGTAGATTAAAACTGTACGAATGTGGACATTGATTTGATATGTTATGTTTTGTTTTTCAGCGGAGCCGGTGGAGCTGCAGATGTCGACAGAGCAGCGGGAGCGGGCCGAGGTGCAGAGTTCCCTGGGGAACTCCCTGGACGGGGGCTCCGGGGCGGCGATGATGAGCCAGTTCTGCTCGATATGCGGTGACCGCGCCACCGGCAAACACTACGGCGCTGCCTCCTGCGACGGATGTAAGGGCTTCTTCAGACGATCGGTCCGCAAGAACCACATCTATGCCTGCAGGTACACCACCTCCTTTCACTTTACTCAACCCCAGTTTCACAAGCTTATAGCGTGGTACTCTTAATATGCCGCAGATGAGGTAGCATTATTCATCAGAAAGAGAAGACGTAAAAGCAGAGAAAGTAGACAGATAGGAGGAAGAGTATGGAACGTCGTCTGGGACTTTATTGAATCATAACCTCTACGCTACTCTGAACGCAGTTCTCTGGGACTAAACTACGTCACTGGGGACTTTACCAATAAAACCCAGTTGGGACATTACTGANGGTTTTTTTTTAACCCTATTTTTCTCTTAAATTTTATTTAAAAAAATAGCCGAAAACTAATTTTAAGAGTTTTTGAAGAATGTTTTAAAAGCAGGTCATTGCTAGTAGGGTAGTTGTTATTTAGATCACTAAAATACCGTTATATCATTTTTCAACAGCATAATTCTCATTATTACAAACATAAACAAACCAGGAAAAACGCGTTGAGTGAAAATGTATACGAAACAAAATCCGATGAGTGAATTATTAAATATAATCAGTAAACTAATTTGCAAAGAATCAAATTCATTTATAATTCCATTATTATGATGTCAACTGGCAACGCGATATTGGGTGACGTAGGCTAAAGTCCCTCCTGACGTAATATTGTCTCACCGCTGTCTTCACATTTACGAGCGAGAGTGCTGTTTTAGTAAAGTCCCAAACGACGTTCCATAGAAGAGGAAGGAGATGAAAAGGACGCATTTCTGTCAAACGGAACTAAGCACCATCGGGGTAGGAAGGTAGAGGGGGGCTTGGATTGGCGGCGGAACCGGGCGTCGCGCGTCGGGCTCATTCGTTCCAATACTCGCAATGCTTTTCCATGACGATTAGTTCCGTTTGACAGAAATACGTCCAAAAGGGAATAGAGACAGGGGAAGGAAGAAAAATAAGGAGGGGATTTGGGAAGAAAAGGAAAATAATGAAAAAGAGGAGAGAGAAGTATTTTCTTTTCAGAGAATTGAGAAAAAGAGGAACGAATAGTTGAAGAGCGTCTTTTTCTTCGTCTACTTCTCTTTGTTCTTCCTCCTCCTCTTCTTTTATCTAATTTCCTTCTTCTTCTCATTATACTTCTCCCATTTATTTTTTTCTGCCCCCACTTCATCTCCATCTGCATGTCCCTGCACCTGCACCTGCATCTGACTCCATCTCTATCTCCCCTGGTAAAAATTGGCGATAAGAGCTGCGTTTCAAAATACCATAGGAATTCTTACAGCTGGCTAAAGAAGGCTATAGAAGATCATATAGCTGGCTGTAGAATGCGGAGAAAATCATACGCCCGGGCTATACGAAGCGATAAAAAATTATACAGCCGGGCTATAGTTCCTATCGCCGGGCTTTACACTTTATCGCCTGGCTGTTGCTTTTTCGCCATCGATTATAAAAGACTATAAGAAATTGTGTAGAAATTCGTGTGCTTTGGAAATCATTAAGTTTGATACGGAACCACCTTAATATTTACAAAACACACATTATATTTTCCTTTAATACATATTTTTTTTCATCAATGAAAATTAGAATAATCCATACAGGATGTGCAAACATTTCAAAGTCATGAGTTGAATAACGCTGACTCCGCCGGATTAAATATTAGAGCCTAACACAAAGCGGAGCGGCGACGCACTGGCGCCTACAAACCTAACAGGGATACTTCATGCATTGCGCAACGCATGAAGTATCCCTGTTAGGTTTGTAGGCGCCAATGCGTGTTTCGCGCTGGCTGCCCGCCTGCCACGGCGCTTGAAGCAACTATTTCACACCAGAGGTATTGCACAGT